CGTTCGTGGAGCTCGGAAACGGGGGGGATTAAGCATCCGATACGACAATGACCACTAAATGAAAGAGCTGCAAATCAATTTTCTCTAATTTCGCCACTGAATCTTCTATTTTCGTAAGAGAAATCATTAGTTTGAATAATATATACGTTAGTATAACGGATACAAACCTGAGCGATAAATTTGAGGTCAACGATTCGAGCCTTCTCCAAAATCTTAATAGCGAAAGGTTGACCAGAGTCAACATGCTTCGCGTACTTCACTTTGCCAAAATTTCCTTCACCAAGAGTCCTTCCAACTTCGTATTTTCCCACTCGCATTCCCTTCTTCTTTTCACCTTGCATTATTTCACCGTCCTCGTGTTGTACCAATACCATACCGAAAAAAATCCCAACTTTAAATTAAATCCCTTATACAAATGTGAAAAAAATCTACAAATGAAAGATTGTTAAACTCTTAGTTCTTGATTTTTTGATGTAATATGTTGGGTACAAATTGTAGAAGAGAAGATCAGAAGGTTTCGAGTTTCTTTGATTTCTCTTCTATTATTTGGTGGCTATATATATAGGAAATAGAAATAATTAAATAATAAAGTGGGACCTGTGACTTTTCTTTATATACAGTCTAGATCTCCTTTTATCCATTAATTTAATCCTCGTTTTTTTTTCACCTAAATAAATAAATGAAACTTCATTGTTGCGCCGAGTAATTTAATTTTTAATTAATAAGTTGGTCAAATAGGAACCGAGGATTGGTCTCACCTTCTCGGGACCCAATCCCAACCACACGAAAAGGTAATAGTTATATACCAAAATAATAAATGTAATTTATGTGTTTTTGTACTTCCTCATTTAACCATGATTAAGTAATTATATGGTTGGCAAATAGGCAGGTCAGATCAGATATGCAGAGGCGGATCCAGGATTTGAGGCTTATGGGTTCCTACCGTAATTTTAAAATTAATATACAATAATAATTGGACCCACAGCTAGATATTTATAAATATTTAATGAATTTCGTAATATAAATATAGCGTATACGCAAGAGTTACTGGGTTCCCGAAAACGCATATTCAATGCTCTAGGTCCGTCCTTGCGGATATGGGCGAATTGAAATCGGATAACATAAAAACGGATAAAATATCCGACCTGCCTATATTTAATACAGATAGAAAATAAGTTAATCGGTGAATAATATGGATACCTATATTATCCATGGTTTCTTGTTGTGATCACTTTTGGGAGAATTTTTAATCTTTCAAATCTGAAGAACCCCCAATTTAAGTCGTTACAAATGTTAAAGTTAAACTCATTGGTTATTCATCACGTATCTATTTTTTAAGTGGATAATATGAATCGTATCAACCTATTTTGAAGAAAAATCATTATCCAATCCATTTTTAGTGGATAATATAGATGAATAGATTTTTAATCTATTTTTTACCATTAAATAATTATATATTATATATTATATATTATTTAATATTGAAAAATACCATATAATTCTTAACTATTACTCCCTTAATTTTTTTTACCAGCCAAGTATTAAGTTTGCTCTCCTCTTAAAAAGTTATTTATTAAATTATCTTATTAATGGTAATTAAAATCTTATATCACTTGTTTTTTTGTTTCTTACCCGGTATCGGTTACTCGCATTGGAGCCCGACTATATCCGGATTCGCGCCGCATAGGGCCCCATTCGGGGGGAAGCGCTCCCTGCCAAGGACTTTTCCATACCCAGGGCTCGAACTCAAGACCTTTGGTTAAGAAAAGAGTAGTCCCATCCACTGCACCACATCATTTGGTGGTTATTAAAATCCTATATCACTACAACAATAATTGGGAAGTGTAATGTACTTAAAATTGCGGATAACACAGGAAGAAAAATAATAGATCTCTCTCCTAAGTGAACATGTAAAAAGTTTCTTTCTTATATATACTCCTTCCCGTCCATTTTAATTGATTTTTTGATTTTTTTCACACATATTAAAAAATTCACTTTTTAATAGTATTAATTAATAATAAATGACCATATTAATCTAAATTTTAATTAAAAATATAACAAATACTCCTGTGCTCTTTACTCCAAGGATAAATTTGAAAAAAAGAAGTTAATTGCTTCTTGATATTTGAAAAAATTAAATATTATAAAAATTAAAAAATTAATTAAAGTGGACAGGAGGAAATGAAATAATATTATTTCCAATTATTGGACATTTGGCCAATTGATGAATGCTATAAGCAGAAAAGGCAATATGGACACATTTACGATGTCATCATTTTATTACTATTTATTGGTCGGTACTTTCTCAATTTACGTGTGTAATGACTACTCACAAATAATCTTTCATGTTTAAAATGTGTAACCAAAAAGTAAGAAAAGCACAAATATGAAAGGATATTTGATGAAATGAAGCCCAACATACACAAAAGTAAGCTGCCTAGTCAAATTTTACGTGGCCTTTGACTTTGGTTTTGATTTACTTTTTGAACAAGTGTATGTCAGAAAATAATTTAGACAAAATATTTTTGAATTTGTTTTTGAGAAAATGTTTTTTCACAATATTTGTGTTAATTTAATTAAGGACATATAGATTTGAGTTACGTTGTTTTAAAAATATTATCTTGATATTATCGTTGCAAATCTTGTTAAAGAAGTTGGTTGATGTGCATATAGATTTTATTTTCGTAGTGTTAGAAGTAGTATTTATATTTAAATATAATTTATAAGAATTTAACGTAACCAATTAGATAATGATCATGCTAAACAAAAGAATAAAATAATTATGTAATAACAACATAATTATATAAGATATTTACTTGATCAAGCCATCAAGATAAAGCGACATGAAAAGATAAAATATAAAACCTACTAGAAAGTTCATTATAGAAGAATTAACTTAAATAGCCGTCCTATGTAATTTTTCCACGTATGAAAATATAATGAGTATGTGGTTGTTGTTGTTGTTGCTATTATCTTCGTAGTCGACCATCTAACCTATTAGCTTAAAAATAACCTGTGGATATATAATATACGTACACGCCGTGTATAATATGAATATATTCATGTATAGTTAATATATAATATGTATACCGACTAGAAAAATAAACAGTGATCGATTTTTTTTTTTTTGTGTGTGTATATATANTGTAAATAGTTGGTTGGATTTTTTTTTTTTTTGTGTGTGTATATATATATATATATATATATATATATATATATATATATATATACACGAAGGGGAGCCTTGACGTAACTGGCAAAGTTGCTGCCATGTTACCTGTCACGACCCAAATTCCATCGTAGGTCGTGATGGCGCCCGACGCCATTGTCAGGCAAGCCAACTCTAATTCAGCTAATGGGTTCTCATTATTTTTATCAAACAACCCCAACATTTTCATTCAACAGTTAAGCTTTTAACCAGTCAATAATTAACAAGTTCGTAATAAAGAAAATACATCCCTTAATAATAGTCTACAAGTGTGTGCCAAGAACTAGTGTCACAAGTACTAGGGCAACTAGTAGAATGTAAAAAAGTACCACTATCCTACTGCATGAAACAGAATAGACAGTACATAATCAACAACAAAAGAAGAGAACTCCGGTATGCTGCTGAACGGCTCAAGAGGGCAGCTCGCCGTGAGATCTCGATCAGGAGTCAGGAACGCGCGCCGGAGGGGTAACTAGATGCACCTGCCTCAGATCTTGTACAATTAAGTACAAAAGCGTAGTATGAGTACATATCAGTTGCAGTCATGTCATATAATAACTTACATTTCAAAACATTTAAATAGAGTAAATCATGGATGAATTCCACATAAACAACATGCGCACAGTATGCCGAGCTCGTACGGCCCGATCCACATAATAATAACTGTGCAGTGCTAGAGGGTCGAATGGCGCGAACCATAGATGCATCTATTTCTACCGAGGCGATCGGCCCGATCCACAAATAGCAATTATTATCAAGAAGGCACACATTGTTCATTTATAGTCAAATAAATTCATACAAGTTCTCAAGTAAGTGTGTACATTCGTCTATATTTATTTACAATTCGTAACATGTCCTAGGTGATCTCAGTTAGCAAGCAAGAACACAAGCATTTGCATGTATGTCATGATACGAGTCCTAGACTACCCGGACAATTAGCATAATAGTAGCTACGCATGGACTCTCGTCACCACGTGCGTACGTAGCCCCCACAGATAGTTACATACATTTATTTAGTTCACCTAGGGGGTTATTTCCCTCTTACGAGGTTAGAAAGCAGACTCACCTTGCTCCAAAGCTTACTTCTAATTTCAAGAACGCGCTCAAACCCTCAATTCGAAGCCGAACGATCCAAAACTAATCAAACGGGGTAAGAACTAGTCAATACAAGCTCAAGAGTTCGTATTCTAACTATTAAAGTAATTTCCCAACCCTAAATACAAGTTTCCTAAAATCCATCCCCAGGCCCACGTGCCCGGATTTCAAAAATTCTCGAGGAAAGTTGTTACCCATAACCTAGGGATCAAGAATATATGATTTTTACTTCATTCCATAACAAATTTCGTGGTTAAATTTTGTTTCTATCAAAACCCTAGGTTTTACTCTAAACCCACAATTTTCACTAATTTACAAGGGGTAATCTACTCCTAAACTATGTATTAAACTCACATTATGTAGAAATAACTTACCTCACAATGCTAGGCTGAAATTCCCTCTTTGGAAGCTCCCAAATCGCCCAAGAATTGAATGAAATGTGTCAAAAATGACATATTTCCCGTATTAAATGAAGGCACTGCCTTCAGCGATTTCCGCACCTGCGGTTAGGGGACCGCATTTGCAGTCTCGCTTCTGCGAGGGAAGGTCCGCATCTGCGGAATTGGACCGGACTGGATGGGACCGCATCTGCGGTCCTGGGGCCGCTTCTGTGGAAGAGGGGCCGCATCTGCGGTTCCTGGGCTCCTCTCCTTGGGCCGCACTTGCGATGGGTCGACCGCTTCTGCGGTATCGCACTTGCGGCTGGCCAACCACAGGTGCGGTTATGACAACAACCTGGAGCTTCAGCTCCTTCCAAAATTTCCTAACTCAACTCTAGCCTCGTCCGATTGACGCTCGGGGCCCCCGGGGCCCCGCCCGAACATACCGACAAGTTGGAAATCATAAAACGGACTCGCTCGAACCCTCGAAATGTCAGAAACAATGCTAAATCTAAGAATCACCCTTTAAAACCAATTGAATCAAACTTATGAACTTCAAGTTCCTCAATTTACATCCAATTCAACGAAACACACTTATACTACTCGGATTGACACCAAATTTTGTGTTCAAGTCTTAAATGATAATACGGAACTATTCCCGGTCTCGGAATTTCGTTAGGACCTCGATAACAAAAAAACCCGCTCCAAACCAAATATTTAGGAACTTCAAATTCCTTAAGGAATCAACTTTCACTATTAGGCGCCAAAATGCTCCCGGGTCATCCAAACCCGATCTAGACATACGCCCAAGTCCGAAATCATCATACAAACCTGTTGGAACCTTC